AAGCGCGTGTTTCAAGCTGCTGTTGATAACGACGATGGTGACACGCATTCCTTTGAAGGTGATGGCGATGACGATGGCAGTGACGAGTATGTGTTCCAAGATGCTGCTGATGACGATGGACATGACGAGTATGTGTTTCAAGATGCTGCTGATGACGATGGTGATGACGTGCATGTGTTTCAAGATGCTGCTGATGACGATGGTGATGACGAGCATGCGTTTCAAGATGCTGCTGATGACGATGCTGATGACGAGCATGTGTTTCAAGATGCTGCTGATGACGATGGTGATGACGAGCATGTGTTTCAAGATGCTGCTTATGACGATGATGATGACGAGCATGTGTTTCAAGATGCTGCAATGACGATGATGATGACGAGTATGTGTTTCAAGATGCTGGTGATGACGATGATGATGACGAGCATGTGTTTCAAAATGCTGCTGATGACGATGGTGATGACGAGCATGTGTTTCAAGATGCTGCTGATGACGATGGTGATGACGAGCATGTGTTTCAAGATGCTGCTGATGACAATGGTGATGACGAGCATGTGTTTCAAGATGCTGCTGATGACGATGGTGATGACGAGCATGTGTTTCAAGATGCTGCTGATGACGATGGTGATGACGAGCATGTGTTTCAAGATGCTGCTGATGACGATGGTGATGAGGAGCATGTGTTTCAAGATGCTGCTGATGACGATGATGATGATGACGAGTATGTGCTCCAAGATGCTGCTGATGACGATGGTGACGACGAGCATGTGTTTCAAGATGCTGCTGATGACGATGATGATGATGACGATTATGTGTTTCAAGATTCTGCTGATGACGATAATGATGACGAGTATGTGTTTCAAGATGTTGCTGATGATGATGGTGCGCTGGGAGCAATACATTGTCATAATGAGTTTCACAGGGCACAATCGGGTGGGAAGCACAGCCCACCAGACTAAGGGAATAACTCCCTGGGGCTAGGCACCCATAGCGGGTTCCATAAGTTCTCCTCTCTTTCCCCTTCTTCCTCCTCTTCCTCCTCCTCCTCCGCCTCCACCTCCGTCTGTTCCTCCTCACCCCTCTTACTTCCAGCGGGTGAGCGCCGAAGCGCGTTCCAGAGGGATATCTTAAGCCTTAATCTCTCGATTCTCCGGCCTCCGGAGGCCCGACACAAACATTAGCGGATTACAAATTGATTTCTTTTTGTTGTTGAATTACAAAGGGAAACCTTTCGTGGTGAACTACACATTGTTTTCTTTTGTGGCGGATTACAAAAGGATTCCTTTTGTGGAGGATTACAAAAAAGGATTTCTTTTGCGGAGGATCACAAGGTGATTCCTTTTGTGGCGAATTACAAAAGGAATCCTTTTGTGGTGATTACAATTTGTTTCCTTTCGTGGCGGATTACAAAAGGATTCCTTTTGTGGAGGATTACAAAGGGATTCCTTTTGTGGAGGATTACAAATTTATTTCCTTTGAGGGCCTTCCTGGAAGGGAACCAGGGAACAAAAGGAACAAAAAAAAACATAAAATCATTGAAAATTCTGAAAATTACAATTTGTCAATGAATTTCCCATGCTTTGAAGCAAGAACATATAAAAACACAGCATTTCCCAAGGTTTTGAGGCCGAAACGATTATGATAACACAGCATGTGTGCATTCGGAATGTCAAAATGTTTTGTTGTATATGTCTTTGCTTCAAACATCGTAAGTTCATTGAAAACCTGCAAGTTCCCCAATGTTCAATGATTTCCTGATTGTTTGTTTTGTTTCTTTTGTCCCCTGGTTCACTTCCAGGAAAGCCCTCAACGGAAATCAATGTGTAATCCTCCACAAAAGGAGTCCCTGTGTAATTCTCCACGCAAGGAATCCTTTTGTAATCCGCCACAAAAGGAAACAAACTGTAATTCACCACAAAAGGATTCCCTTTGTAATTCGCCAGAAAAAGGAATCATTTTGTGATCCTCCACAAAAGGAATCCTTTTGTAATCCTCCACAAAAGGAATCCTTTTGTAATCCGCCACATAAGGAAATAATTTGTAATTCGCCACGAAAAGAATTCCATTTGTAATTCGCCACAAAAAGGAATCAATTTAAAGTTTGCTACAAAAGGAATCATTCTGCATTCCGCTACTTTGAACAATCCCTTTAGAGATTACAAGAAGCATAATCAACAGGAAAGCAAGTACAGAAGAAGTAATAGACCAAAAACCGAGGTGGTACACACACACGGTTTTATCAACCTTACCCACCACCCGGGGGCCGAGACAACGAGAAAACGAGAACCCTAACCACCGTCCGAGAAAAGGAAACCACAACCCCGGGGCCGAGAAAACGAGAAAACGAAAGATATTCCGAGAAAACTGGAACACGGCCCAGGCACCGAGAAAACCGGAAAACGAGAACGCGAACCAGGGTCAAAGAAAACGAGACCGCGACCCAGGAGCCGAAAACACGAGAAAACAAGAAAACGAACCAGGGGACGAGAAAATGATAAAGCGATGAAAACAATCAGGGCCCGAGAAAACGAGACTACGAACCAGGGGCCGAGAAAACAAGAAAGCAAGAAAACGAA